AGTTTCAAATGATTTTTTGGAGAGGTTTCCATTAGCTTCTGTGATAGCCTTGTCTAGGCTATCTTCGGACCATACACCTCTTCTTCTTCGTTCGAGTTCTTTTCTTAGAAGTCCAAAGCTTTTTAGACTTGAGATTGGATGATTGGATGAAGCAGGTGTGATGGATCTTATTAGGAGGACTTGGGAAAATTCTATTACTTTTGGCTCTTCAGATTTCCAACTACACAAAAAATTACTATATGTGAAGCATAAGATGCTAGAATGGAAGAAAGAAAATAAGTATAAGTTGGGAGCCAAGATTGATAGTCTTTTGGAGGATATTAAGGGGATCGATCAAATTGTGCAAAATGGAGGGGTGTATTATGAGATACTTGCTAGTGAGAGAATTGGAAAAATTAATGCTTTGAATGAACTTTGACGGTCTGAGGAAATTTATTGGAGACAAAGGTCTCGAGTCAAATGGCTAAAGGAGGGTGACCTGAACACAAAGTTTTTTCACTCTATTGCCAATGCACGCAGGCGGCAGAATGATCAATAAGGGCTTACCATCCAAGGAGTATTGCAGGTGACATGGATAGCCGTAGTTTGGCAATTATTGAACATATTCGAAAGGCATTCACATCAGAAGCATGCGCTATGAGTCGTATCCCCTTTAAAATTCTTCTAGAGGCTTCTACGGCACAACTAGAAGTTGAGGTATCTGTGAAGAAGCTGAAAGTGGCTGTGTTCTCCCTGGCCGGGGATAAGGCACCAGGACCTGATGGTTTCCCTATGTGTTTCTTCCATAGATTCTGGTTTATGCTCTCGATGGAACTATTAGGTATGGTGCGATGCTTTTTGGATAGGGATGAATTATTTAGAGGTGTTAACTCCACTTTTATTACACTCATTCTAAAACAATCAGTTATCAAGGAGCTCTAGATATCATACCTATTTCATTACTGATCAACTTGTACAAAATTGTTGCAAAGGTGTTTGCAATGTGTTTGAAAAAGGTTTATTGTTATGTTATTTTCAGGTTCCCAAATAGCTTTTATCCATAATAGACTGATAACTAATAGTGTTTTAATTGCTCAAGAGAGCATCCACTCTAGAACTGAAAGCAAGGAACCAGGGGTTGTTATAAAGCTGGATATGGAAAAGGCGTATGATAGAGTGGAATGGAACATCCTGCTTGAAATTTTAAAATGTATGGGGTTCGGTGATAAATGACGTAAATGGATTTATGGTTGCCTCTTCTCGGCATATTTCTCTATTCTTATGGATGGTTTCTCCAAAGGTTTCTTTAACTCCTCAAGGGGACTCCGTCAGGGGGACCCATTGTCACCTTTTTTGTTCACTATTTATGCAGAGTGTTAATGTGGTAAAGAAGGGCAATTTCGTGGGATTCTAGGTGGGGCAAGATGGTCCGTTTATTTCTCACCTACAGTATGCAGATGATACGCTAATCTTTTTGGAGACCAAGAAAGAGTATATTGAATATATTGACAGATTTTTGAGGTGTTGCGAGGTGGCAGTGGGGTTAAAGTAAATATTGCAAAAACTTCTATGGTGGGGGTTAATTGCAGCAGTGAACTGATAGAGGAACTTGCTTTAATACTTGGATGCAAAGTGGGCAAATTCCCCATAATTTATCGTGGGCTACCTATTTTTTATTCCAGGTTTTTTATTTCAGTATGGGATAGAGTGATTCAACGAGCTCAAACTAAATTGGATTTATCGAAGCCAGAGTATTTGTTGCTCAAGGGACGTGTGACCTTAGTTAAATCATGCTTGGCAAACCTACCTATTTATCAGATGTCTCTCTTGAAAATGCCAGTAGATATAGTTAAGAAAGTTGAGAAGATGATGCGATGTTTTCTATAGGGCCCTTTTGAGGAGAATAAGAAATATCATTTGTTAAGATGAGATAGAGTGTGTACCCCTAAATGTGAAGGAGGTCTTGGTATTCGAAGAGTGGCATTGATGAATGAGGCATTGCCGACAAAATGGTGGTTGCGCAATTTGTTGTTCAAGGATCAGCTCTAGTGTAAGATTATAATTGTTAAATACGGTGTTGATAGGTGTTAAGTGTGGATTGGAGGTGATAGAAGCAGTGCATCTAGATCTGTATTTTGGAAGGATTTTTTTCTGTTCAAAGCCTATCTCCATAGAGATATTAAGTGGTGTGTGGGGAATGGCATTCAAGTCTCGTTCTGACACCATAAGTGGTTAGGGGACTGCCATTTGAAGAGGTCCTTCACTGAATTGTTGGCAAAGGCCTCTTCCCCATGCGCTGACATGTGAAACCTATCAGGTTGTTGGAGAGCAGGTGGTGTGGGATATCTAGTTTCCTTATAATTGAGTTAATGACCAGCTTGTGGCGCAGGTTTCGAGCTTGTTTTTACAGCTACAGGAGGTGGTACTGTCCAATAATACTGATGATGAAGTGATTTGGGAGCACAGTAAGGATGATCTTTTTTCTGTTAAAGCCATATATTCTCTTTTGTTCCATGATCACCACAGATGGTCGTTGCTTCAAATTTCGTTGCTTCAAATTTCCCAAATCTGGAAATGACCCATTCCTCATAAGGTCCAATGTTTTATTTGGTTGGTTGGGCAAATGAGGTTCTTACTGTTGATAATCTCATTAAAAGAGGAAAGGTCTTGCCAAATGTTTGCCTGATGTGTAAAGAGAATGGGGAGTCGATTTCGCACTTGCTTTTTCATTGTCGATATGCAACGTACATATGGTATTACTTCTTTGAGATGTTAAGGTTATGTACGGCTCTTTCTCAAAGTGTCTTGGGTATCATTTCTCAGTTAGTATTTATGGCTTTACCAAAATAAGGGGCAAGAATTTGGCAAATTGTTAAAGGAGCTGTGTGTTGTGAGGTATGGAAAGATTGGAATAAACATACTTTTGAAGGAATTAGTATTTCCTGTGAAGGCCTAATCCAACGTATTATTCATACGATATGGTGCTGCCTGTCAGTCACTGAGGATGGGAGAGGTGTTAGTGAGATCAATGTGCAACTTAATCTAGCCTATTTGGTGATCTCTAAGAGGGTTAAGACCAGACTAGTTGGTAAATGGATACCCCCGGTACAAGGTTGGTTAAAATTAAACTTTGATGGACGCTCCCTCGGTAATCCAAGTAATACAGGGATAGGAGGTGTGGAACGTGAATGGACTGGATCAATTGTTTTTGCATATGCAAGACCTATTGGAATTGCCACGACTAACATGACTGAGTTTAGAGCCTTGCTCAAAGGAATACTCCTTATTAAAGCCATGACTTTGGGTCACGGTATAATGGTCGAAAGTGATTAGGTGGTTCTAAAAGCAACAAAGAGTTCCCTGGTTGCTACAATCATTTTGAGTCCAAGTGGTGAATTTGGAAAGGAAATTATCTTTATTGTTCCATCATGTCTTTAGAGAATCGAATGATTTTGCTAATGGTTTGACTAAAAGAAGTGTTACTATGATTCTTTTTCTATTTTGAATAATGTAATGAGCGAGTGATGTAACTACATTTTAGTTGACAATAAAATTTGATAACATTTGTCAATAATAATAATAATAATAATAATAATAATAATAATAATAATAATAATAATAATAATAATAATAATAATAATAATAATAATAATAATAATAATTTAAAAAGTAGCAAAATAATATTATCACATTAATATTTAAAGGTAACAGAAGCCTTGCTTTTGAAAATGGGATTGGGATTGGGGCCGTGGTGGTAGCATCATTTGTGCCCCAGTTAAAATTTAAGCTTCTATTCTCACCTAACATATTAAAAAAAAAAAACACTAATGATTTAAAAAACGGGTAGAGGCTCGTCATCCCCACTTAATTACCCAAAAAAAAAAAAATTCAATAATGAATTTAAAAAAAAGGAAAAAATCAAAAAAATTAGAGAAACTTTTTCAAATATAGTCGTTTACCAGAGGAATTATAAGAGATACGAGAATAGCGAAAAATATTCAAAGAGATATCAATACTCCATATTGGATAAGTTTAGGTCGTCCTAGAATTGGAGGAGAACTTAGGACATAATATTTTAAACTACAAAAACGTTATAATTAAAAGGTACAAAATTAGTCGGAGACTAATTTTCAAATAAGTCTTTAACAGCACAAAAATGTGTTAGATATTTATTGAAAACCATTTTAAAGTTCAGAATATAAGAACCTCTGTTTTAAAGATTTCATAAATCAAAATAATTGATTAAAATTTTCAAAAATTTATTATAAAATATTTTAAAAGAATTAAAAATTCATTTAAAAATATAAATTCATTTAAGTAAAAAGAAAACAGAAGAAACTATAGTTTCATATTTCTTATTCTTGTAAAAAAAAAATCAACATAATTTTTATGGAGTATTTAAAGATTCATTATTATGACAAATTTGGAAACTGCTTATAAACTATTTTAGAACAATGAAAAATTTGATTGAAAATATCAATAAATTTTTATATTTTAAAATTTCTCAAACAAAGTAAATTAGTCAATATTACAAATTTAAAAATCACCTGATTTCAAAACTACAATATGAATAACTTAAAAAAGTGGTTTACTATTTTTACAACAAAGCATAATTTATTTCAGATATTTCAATTGTATTATTTTGACAACGCTAAAAACTATAGGGGAGATTTATCAAAGTACACAAACGATATGACATATTAACTTCATACCTATTGTAACTATCCCAAGTCAAAGTCCTGTGTCTTTCTATGGGTATTTTGAAATTAAATCAAAATCACATGCTTTTCTATAGTTATTTTGAAATTAAATCAAAATATACAAGTAAAATATTAGATTGTTCATCTCTAATAAGTAATATGTTAAATTTCCCAAATAATAAAAAGCACATGTATTTTGCATAAATTAGGTCTGTACATTATTCATTTTATGCTCAAGTTCAACGCACTGTTTCTTTTTATCCCCAAACTAGAGTATCTCCAATGCTCACCTGCTTTTCACATGTAGCAGACTCTAAATAATGGCCTATATAATCTCCTCTTAACTCATATTAGATCAATTATGAGAAATTATAGTGGGTTCTGCAATGCCGCCACCGCATAAATTCTCATGTTCATATCAAGAATTTGTGCTCCCACCACCAACAAATATACAAGGAACAGACTACCATGATACCCTTCAAAATTTCCACTGATACAAAAAATATGATAAATATGAAGAAGCAAAAAGATTTAGAGGGAATAAATGGGAAAAAATAACAAACAAAAAATGGAGAAAGGGAGGCAAAGACCATGTTCTTAGGTCATGTTACAATAGGGGGGATCCATCATGGCCCATTGAAAGACCTGCTCATATTGAGCGGCAGCCTTCTCCCAAGTGTAGTCTCTCTCCATTCCCCTTCTCATTATACCTTCCCATGAATTCTTATACTCCCTGTACGTCTGCGTTGCTATTCGTAATGTCTGAAAGCAACAATAGTGACAAACTGAAAATTAATTAAGAGATCGATATACAACATTGTAAATCATCCAAGATCCTTTGTCTACATTAGTTTTTCGGTAGGCCTGTCTTTCAGGAATTTTTTGTTCTTTTTTTTTTTAGCTTCCCCCTTTTTCCAAATGATTGTTTGGTTTCTAACATCTCACAAAAATTTAAAACTGCAAATTTTGTAATATCTAAAGAAACAAGTCTAGTCAAAACTGGTTCAACTACTAGTCAAAATGGATGGACCAAATTTTCAAAAAAATAGAAAAAAGAAGAGTAATAGTTTAATACCATGAAACATTTTATAAAATAAAAATAAAAAAATACCCTACTTTTTCTGTTGAATAGGTTTGATCCATTAAAACTATAGCCGATCCAACCAGCCAAAACCGATCAAATATTAATTTGGCATGTTCTCAACCAAACCCAGTTGTTGCTTTGCACCAAATCAACCAACGAACTCGTTGACGGTTTGACACTGGGCAATTGGGTTGATTCCTGATAACCATGATGTAGAGGGAAATAACTAGCCCTAAACTCCTATACTGCCAGAGGTTGCTCTAAACTCCTATTCGCCGGAGGGCGCATTATTTTTGTGAAAATGGGTGCAGAAGCAAGCACCTTTTAGACAAGAGTACCATACACCATGCAATCAAGGACCATACTACAACGATGCCACCTAGCAACCATCCAAGTTCCACGGGCATTGGACGGTGGAGATTATGAGAGGCGATGGAAACCATAGGCAGCATGCTTCAAATTGCAACCGTGATCCATGTGTATGGTGTATCATCATGATTCAGTGCCAATGGCCAATTGATGCTCATCAAGGGACATTGTTACACTAAGCTCCAGGGCGAACACAGATAAATATCAAAATACACATGTCACAACTGCATGGATGTGAATCTCAATTCCAAACCAATTAATGTGATGAAAAGGGATAATAGAGGAAAAGTAGTTATTTATAGGATTAGTTAGCAGCTCATCTGTAATTGTATGAAGTATGGATGAAGAGGACTTACCCCAAGCATGGCCTCCTTTGACAAAGGAGAAAAACTCCACCTGCAACAGACACCAAATCAAATAACATCCAATAAAGTGTCAAAATATATATTTTACCAAGGCGAGATCGAAACAGAACTCAACAAACTACATTGCATTAGTTACTGCAACAAGCACCACACATCTTTGGTCTTAGGTTACTTTCAAAAGCTCAAATGTGCAGAGGAATTACTCACCCTGTGCCACGACCTTCACCTCCATTAGCAAAAGGGTCAAAGTTTTCCACAGTATCCTGCCACCCAAAAATAAACATATAAACAAATCAATAGAAATGTAACCTTCAAGCAATTACCTGCGAAAACCACATGACAGAGCGAGAGAGACATTTTCTTTCTGTATAGGTAAAGAGAGGATAAATAAAATCAAAACTATAGAAACCAAGAAGTGTGCTTTAGAAATACTTCAATATATGGAAATTTATCAAAATACCCATAACTGATGAACTAACCAACATTTTACTTGCAAGCAAGTATCCCAACACATGATCGTGTGCCTTATGGCGGGGTATTTGAAATTAAATCAAAAGACAAGAATAGAGCATTAAATATTTCATCTCTCATGCATATATTTTACAAATTTCCCATTAATATCTAAAAAAAAATTCCAAACCTGTGTGTGTGTGTGTGTGTGTGTGTGTGTGAGAGAGAGAGAGAGAGAGAGAGAGAGAGAGAGAAGAGAGAAAGAGAGAGAGAGCAATCGACCCATAACATAGAAGCCCCAGAATTATCTTTTTCTCACCTTGAGTCCACCTGTGCCGTGCACGACAGGGACAGTTCCATATCTCATGGCATAGAGCTGATTTAGGCCACAAGGCTCAAATCTTGAGGGCATGAGTAAAATATCACACCTGCATGTTTACAAGCAGCAGCTCATGAACATTACTGTATGCTCAAGTGAACAGGTTGAAGCGATCGCCTCAAACTTTCCCCCTAGATAAATATAGACCCAAATTTGAAGTTTTGAACTTTTACCCTGCGGTGACTCTGTGAGAAACAGGGACACTGAATCCAACCCAACCTCGAAATTTATCCCTGTAATTGCACTCTGCAGTTCTCATCCACTGTTCTATGTCTGGGTCTCCTGACCCAAGCATGATCTGATGATTGACTAACCACAGTGAGATCCAAAATAGACTACTTATTCATGTATGCATATATACTGATGGATGCTAATTTAATGTTCTTACATGCAAGATGGGTAAGCAATGAGGTGGAAGTGAAAACAACTTACAAATTGGACATCATCTTGCATAAGTTCATCAAGTGAGGATCTAATCAGGTCAACACCCTTTTGGTAGTCCAGTCTTCCAATAAATCCAACCTAGAAAAGCACTTGCTTGATAAACATACATGTTGGAAAGAAGTGACACAGAAGATCTTTGAAAATAAAAAAAAATAAAAATAAATGTTTGCTTGAAGCTATGATAAAACAAGTAAATCCTCTCACCAGTGGAACATCGGGTCTCACTGCCAAACCAAGTTCCTTTTGCAAAGCCAACTTGCACTCAGCCTGACACTCGACAATCAATTGACATCAGCAAGATTCAGAAAACAATAGAAGAGTAATGAATGTGGCAGGGAATAATGGCCATTGCTTGGTCGACCTTTCCAGAGAGATCAATAACAGAGTATTGACAAGATATATGCCTGTCAGATACTGGGTTCCACTCGTCAATATCAATACCATTTGTTATTCCTGGGTATAACAGAAGGCAAAGAACAAAGCACACCATTAGACTCCATTATCAGACACACCCAGAGAGAGAGAGAGAGAGAGATCCTCCACCACGTGTTATTAACAAAAGGAAACAAGAAATACTATTAGAGCCCATGATCTGTGTGCATGTGTATGTGTGCGCATCTGTGTAGAGAGAGAGAGAGAGAGAGTTTGTGTGTGTGTGATAGAGAGAGATCCACCCATTTATTCTTTAGACAAACCATTTATGACACTTTTCCGGCTCCGCAGGAGCTCATCAAGCCCAGTGCCACCCTCAGCAGTTGTAATTTCCCAGGCATATCCCTGTTACAATAAGGCCTAATGTCACTTCAAAAGCACATAAATATACTCCAAGAAAATGTAATGTCAGAATATAGAGGCAATTACCTGGCTAACTGTCACTATGCGATCAGCTGTAACAATTCCACCCTTCAAAGGATTAACAGCTTCACCTCTATCGAGAGCATGCTTCCGTGCCCAAGTGGGGAAAACCCATTCCAGTGCACCATACCATTCAGGAGGCAATCCAAGATTTCCAAAGGTTGTTGCTGGTTCCACTCCCTGATATTAAAGTTGAAAGAATCAAGATCGCAAGTAAGTAAATACAAACTTCAGGATTCAAACAGCACATGCTTTCAGGACACAAACATGGTTAAATACCAGGGGAAGGATACACCAGTGTTACAAGGTTGATGGTACTCCAAGGCTAACATGTACCATCCAATCTAATGGATGTTTGGAGATTTACCTAAATCCACTATGCATTCCTCACCGGGTCACAGTTCATCCATATCTACACATTCATCAGTGGGAATGGATGGTGGATATAACCTTGTAGTACGATTTATCATAGTCTGTAATACCCATCAATATAGAAAGTAAAAACCAAAAAGTATACCTACCTGATGTGCAAGGTTATGTATGACAAGAACACTACGGGCATGCTTATAAACTCCATATGGGCGATATTTAGCTGCCAACAATCTTGAAGGAAACCAAATAAAACCAGCTAGAATCAATCTGAGTATAGAAATGCATGATCAAATTTGTAACAGACAACAGTTAATCAACCAAACATTCCATACATTCCATGCGGTAATTAGAAAAGAAGAAATCACAAAACTCATCAAAATAAGAACCATACAACACACTTATCGAGAAAACTTAAAAGTCATCTGTTGGCTGGAAACCAGCCAAGGATGCTAACAAATACAAATACCATGAATTGGTTGGCATTCTCATATATCCTCACTTACAACTGACTGAATATTTCATACGCAGTCATCACTGTGAGCTAAATTAAAGTCAGGACGGAACATGATGTCCCTAAAGAAACAATGGGCCTCGTTCCAAGTTTTGGTATACTGGCAAAATATACCATGAATCAACTCATAAGCTGTCCTCATTGTGAGCTACATTAAGTCAGGCTAAAACATGGCTCTTATTGTGGTCAATGATCAAATTCCATGTTTTGGATACTCGTATGCTGATTATCTAGTTTCTTTAAAAGGCAATTTACAATATTTTTTGTTGGTCAAGAATTGGAGTCCAAGATAAGTATGAAGCATCAAGAAATATACGTATGTTCTAGGATTATCTGTGATGAAGCCCTTAGTCCTACAAAAGACTAAGCGCTTTTGGTATGAGATGTACAAATTTCTTTTCGGGACAATTGAAGCATAAAATTTTTATAAATCTTACCACAAAATACAATAGTCTACCCCTTATATCTTGTTCGTTCTCAACAGGACAAAATATGAGGGGTGAACTTACTCAAAAGGTTAAATAAAGATGAGCCTTTGGACTATCAAAAATGTTTCTAGTGAGAGGCAATTTTCACACCATAAAGCATCAACATACAATAATCAAACAAGATTACCATACAAATGACGAAGGATTATTATTAACCAAAAAAAAAAAAAAGAAAAGATCAAGAAACTGCCAAGTGTAGTATCTTACATCGGTACAAGACTCGCATGCCAGTCATTAACAAGGAATATGCATCTTTCCCCGTAAATGTAACCTCCTAATGGAAGAACTAATGGAGCCTCACAAGCAGCATAGCAAAACAAAGTAAAACGGAACTGTTGGACAAACAAAAAAAGTCACAACAGAATAAAATCAGGTAATTGCGGCTGACTAATAAGTTCTAAATAGAAGTTTAAAGGAACTCCTCATACCTGATTATCACCAAACGCACCAAAATTATCACCATATGGATTTCCTGGCCTGTGATAGGAAGGATGGTTGACAAAGACCTGCATAGAGAAGTCCAAATTATTTCAACATATGATACAAGCCTCCAACAATCAATCTATCTACCTACCCATAGATAGATAGATAAATATATATATATATATATATATATATATATAGAGAGAGAGAGAGAGAGAGAGAGAGAGAGAGAGACAGAAGGTTGTACCCAATCAACTCCTTCCTTGTACTCATGGAAGAATGCAACTTCATGGTCTCCTCCAAACATGAAACTTTGATTCTCAACTTAGTAT